AAACCCAACTCCCGCTAGCATTTAAGCCTCCACCACTCGCAACTAGTTCAGACCGAGCCAAAGCTATTACAAACGCCATTACAATCTGCTACCTCTGTCCCTAGAGAGAGTGTTTTCCACAGCAGGAGACATTGTTAGTGCCAGCAGATCTGCCCTTTCGGTAAGCAAGTTCATTTTTCTTTAAAAAAACATAAAAATACAATGACAAGCAAGTCATAATGTCAAGCTGGCTGCTTAGGTACTAGTACAGTACAGTTCAAATCCAGATTATTTCAGTTCATCGAAATGCTGCAGCTTAATGCTTATTATATTTTGTATTTATTTGAGTGAATACATTATTCACAGTTTAATAATAATTTTAAAAAAACTAAAAATATTTTATGTTTTGTAATAATTGTTTCTGCTCTACCGAAAACGTACCGAACCGAACCGTGACCTAAAAACCGAGGTACGTACCGAACCGAAATGTTTGTGAACCGTTACACCCCTACTAGATACCTCATCACTCCTCCTCTGGACTCAGATCTCTAGATACCTCATCACTCCTCCTCTGGGCTCAGATCTCTGGATACTTCATCACTCCTCCTCTGGACTCAGATCTCTGGATACTTCATCACTCCTCCTCTGGACTCGGATCTCTACCTCATCACTCCTCCGCTGCTCCAATACAAGTCTGGGCTGCGGTGATTTGTTGATACATGTCGTCTTCTTCTGTTTGCTTTAACCAAGGCTACGTAGTTATGCAGCGCCCCCCCCATCGTCAGTAAATGGAAGTACTACAAAGAACCCTGTTTAGTGCAATTATTTCACAAGTTTTGTTATACACAGCTCGGAAAATATTACCGAGGTCCGGACCTCGTGACCTCAATGGTGGATACGGCCATGCCTGGGTGTCGCTTGTGTGACGTTGTGTTACACGTTGCACGTTTATCTGGTCTCAATGGGTGTTGGCCAGTGTGAGCTTTTCTTCCAAAACTTTTCATCTAACCTAATGTCTTGGTTCTTGTCCAGTTCTACCCTATACAATCAATGGGTACACCATTAACTCTGACATTGTTTCCTTATATATCTTTCTGGTACAGCCGTGTCCTAACCTGAGAGTGCAGCAGCTGAATCCTCTGGCTGAAGTCGACCACTTCCTGCTCGGCCAGCTTGCGACTTCTCTCAGATTGCTCCAGCGCTGCCTTGATCTCCTCGTTCTCAGCTATCAGGAGGTTGGTGCGGCGCTCTGTGATGGCTAGCTGCTCCCTGAAGTCCTCCTGACAGTGGAGCGCTTCATCCAGGTGGACCTGGACGTCCTGTGGCAGAAAGCAAAGGCATGGAGCTTCAGAGGGGAGAAACTAAGATGAATAGAGTAAATATTTTAACCACTAGATATCACCGTTTCACTTGCCCAATTATTTTTCATATGACAAATTCGCTGAATTTTTCTGTTTCAATAATCAAATAAGGCATCATAACACGTGCTAATTTGTGTACAGCACCAGAACAGAAATCCAAACATTGCATAAAAAAAAGTTAAATATTTTTGGTTTGATTTTGTTAAAAAATGTAAGTCAATAGGCGCGTTCACACCGGAGTATTATTCCCAGCATAGTTCGGATATAGTTCAGAAAATTTGCGTTCACACCAAAACAAATCCGGAACTAGAATTGAGTTCATCGGAACCTTTTTTACCCCCTTTTCTGTCCCTGCTAGAGAGCAGGGACTTTCATGGGAGAAAAATGTTCCCATTTCTGATTCAGAAATGGGAACATTTTTCTCCCATGAAAGTCCCTGCTCTCTAGCAGGGACAGAAAAGGGGGTAAAAAAGGTTCCGATGAACTCAATTCTAGTTCCGNCGCTCCACCTCCCGCACAAGCTCCGACTCCTTCCCCCCCAGAGAGGTGACGTTCCACGTCCCCAAAGCCAGCTTCTGTCGCCCGGGTCTGGTCCGTCGAGACCCTCTGCCTTCACTGCCACCCTTCTGGCAGCGCACCCGACCCCATCGCTGTTTCCCGTAGGTGGTGGGCCCGCGGGACAGAGAAGCGGAGGTGTTGCCCACGTCGCCTTTTCGGGCTGTGCCCGGCCGGGCTCCGTGGCAAGCCCGGCCACTAGACGCTCGCCGACGAGTCCTCCTTCTGGGCCTGGCTCCAGAAGGGGACCCCGGGCTTCCTCCGGGCCGGGTATCCTCACTTCGTGTGTCGTCTTTCATGAGGTCTTCTGAACCAATCTTAGTCTGACCCCTTGCCTGAGACCAATTTGCCATGGGAGACCCTACCAGGAACACAAGGTTCCAGACAACACAGCCCCCAGGTTCATCAGGGCACACAAACCTCTCTACCATGGTAAGGTGCTGGTTCTTCAGAGAGGCATCAGGTTATAAAATACAAAATGTTAACAAGCTTTACCACATTGTACTATCTTGATAAAGCAGTTTTACTTCAGGCAATAAACCAGTGTTGTAATGAATATGTTTTCGCTTTTGTTAAGACAAAGAACGCCCTGGCGCACGCTTTGCAGTCGTCTCGACACGACTGTGAGCTGCTGAGGGAGCAGTACGAGGAGGAGCAGGAGGCCAAAGGGAAGCTGCACCGCTGCCTGTCCAAAGCCAACAGAGAGGTGTCCCAGTGGAGGACCAAATACGACACGGACGCCATCCAACGCACCGAGGAGCTGGAGGAGGCTAAGTAAGAAATGGGCTCCATGTTTTTTTAGTCACTGCTGATGCATTATTTCCACTTTAACACCAATTATGTCTGGTTTCCAAAGGAAGAAGCTGGCTCAGCGGCTGCAGGAGTCTGAGGAAATGACAGAGGCAGCTAATGTCAAATGTGCATCTCTGGATAAAACCAAGCTGAGGCTGCAGGCGGAGGTGGAGGATCTCATGGTGGAGCTGGAAAGGTCAAATGCAGCCAATGCGGCGTTGGACAAGAAACAGAGAAACTTTGACAAGGTTTGTTCGTTTCCTCCTCTTTTTTCCCGATGTTTAAGGGTTTTATTAAACCAGTCCTCTCCTCTTTTAGGTTCTGGTTGAATATAAACAGAAACATGAGGAGAGTCAGGCAGATCTGGAGGTTTCCCAGAGAGAGTCTCGAGTGTTGAGCACAGACCTTTTCAAACTGAAAAATTCCTACGAAGAGGCTTTGGATCATCTGGAGTCGATGAAAAGAGGGAATAAAAACATTCAGAGTAAGAGCTCTGCTGCAAAAAAATCATGCATTTGGTGTTGTTTTTTTTCTTTTCTGACCCACCATTATAATACATCTTTTTCTTTACACTTTCAGAGGAGATTACAGAAATCACAGAGCAAGTCGGACAATCTACTAACATATGTCATGAGCTGGAGAGAGTTGCAAAGCAAGCCGAACAGGAGAGGAGAGAAACCCAGGCGACTCTGGAGGAAGTGGAGGTGTGTATTTTGTCCATGGGCGGATTATTAGACAGGTTCCTGGGTAAATATGTCCGTACTGTAGGACCAAAAAGACAGACTTTTTGTTGTCTCTATTTGTAGTCATTTTGTGTCGCATGTAGTCCTTTTGTGTCCCTTTGTAGACGTTTGGGTTCTATTGTGACCTTTTTTTATCCCTTCGTATTCATTTTTACAACTTTGTAGCCCTTTTTTTTTGTAATATTGTATCACATTGTTGTCTTTTTGTGTCGGGTTGTAGTAATTTGTTGTCTCTTTATTGCTATTTAGTGTCACTTCTTTGTAATTGTTTCAGTTTTTCTATTGTTTTTTTTGGCCATGCATCTTTTCGTGCAGTAGTTTTGTGCCTTTTGTTGATTGTTGTGATTCTTTTTGTGTGTCTTTGTGGTCATTTTAAGTTTTAAGTGAAAGCCATGGGGGCCCCTGAGACGTTTGGCCCTTGGGCTTGTGACAGATAGGCCTTTCAATAAACCATCAAGGTTACTTCTTGAACAACACATATTGATACATTTTTCATTACAATAAACACAATCTTAAGGGCTTTGTTTTATGTTGCAGTCCAACCTGGAACACGAGGAGGCAAAGATCCTGCACCTTCAACTGGAGCTGAACCAGGTCAAGTCAGAGGTGGACGGAAAGGTGTCTGAGAAGGACGAGGAAATAGACCAGCTCAAGAGGAATAACCAGAGGACCGTGGACACTCTGCAGAGCACGCTGGACGCCGAGACACGCAGCAGGAACGACGCCATGCGGATGAAGAAGAAGATGGAGGGGGATCTGAACGAGATGGAGGTCCAGCTGAGTCACGCAAACCGCCAGGCGTCCGAGGCCACCAAACAGCTGAGGAACCTGCAGGCGCAGCTGAAGGTTGGTTAATGCCAATGCCGACACTACAGGCAGAAAACGTTTAAATCACAGGTTCACATTGAGATTTTTGGCTAGTTTGCTTCCATAACATACAGTATATCCATAACTGGGATCTCCTACACTCACCGAAAATTTGCAATAGATAATCGCTCACATACATATTTTAGCATTACATTTCAGAAAACGTGGTATACAAAATAAATTGACTGACTATAAGTAATCAACTGGGGAATTTTCAAGGTGATACCTGTTCATTATTAATCGGTATATCAGAGCCTGATTTATGTAACATTCTATTAAAAAATGTTTTATTATATTTTATTACCATTACTATTATCAAATATATAAAAATAACGTATATGCAAAATTCCCTCTCAAGACCAATAGAGAGATCATGAGAACTTAGTTAATGAGTTCTCATGATCTCAAGAGCAGATCGCATTCACACCGGAATAAATCCCTGGGGGGAGGATTAGGCAAATGAAGCCGCTGACGTCACTTCTTCTTCTGCTTTGAGTTTACTGGCAGGCCGCAAACAACTTCACGGCGTATACTGCCGCCCAAAATCCCCGGCCGGAAGTCCCCGGTTGTTGGGGGCTGGCTTCAGTAGAAGCTGCTGGGACTCCCAGCAGCTTCTACTGAAGCCTTCCCAGTAAATCACCAGAACGCTGACACCTCCTCATCTCCACCGCTCCCATGTTTTATTTTGTGTTGCCATAAGTTAGTCTCTCTGCGTTTCTGCGCTGGGCTAATGCTAATGCTAATAATGCTAATAAAATTGTGGCTTCACAACACTTTTTTTGAGTTTTACGGGGCGTGGTTTGCAATCCGCCCAGCCAATCAGAAATAT